ATCCCTTCCTGACAAATCCCCTTCTGATCAGAATTTCTTTCTCGTGGAGCCCCTTCCTGACAGAACCCCTTTCTGGTGGAACCCTTCCTACCTGGGCTGCACATCTTGACAATTCCACACAAGCAAGAAGATTATCTACCACTCCCAACCCTATGTACTGGGTCCCCCCTTTAACTGACTGGGCACCGAAACCAAGCAGGGGTTTGGCTTCAAACTGTCCGTAAATGCAAAAGAAAGAAGCCGACTCTACACCATCACCTTCGTGAGTAGAGCTTTCAGACAATGCAGCAACACAAAGTCCACCAGGACCTCCTCACTGACACATTTCACCCAAAACATGGGTGTAATGATCCCGACCCAGTTTTGGGTGTAACATGTCAGTGGAGGAGGACCTGAGGGGTTCACTGGATAAGTGTGTTAACTATGTCGATAATGAAAGTCAGCAGGTTACTGGTGGAACCTTTCCTGTTGGAACCCCTTCCAAGCAGGACCCCTTCCTGATTGAACCCCTTCAGGGGAAAACCACTCCCTGGTAGGACCCTTTTCTGGTGGAACCCCTTAAGTTCAGGAACTCCTCCTGGCAGAACTCCTTCTTGGCAGAACCTCTTCCTGACGGAACCCGTTCAGGGCAGGACCCCTTCCTGGCAAAACCCCTTCTAAACAGAATCTCTTCCTGGTGGAGCCCCTTCCTGACAACCCCATTCTGGTGGAACCCTTCCTACCTCGGCCACACTTTCCAAGCACATCTTGACAATTCCACACAAGCAAGAAGATAATCTGCCACTCCCAAACCCTATATGCTGGGTCCCCCCTTTAACTGATTGGGCACCGAAACCAAGCAGGGGTTTGGGTTTCAAACTGTCCGTAAATGCAAAAGAAAGAAGCCGACTCTACACCATCACCTTCATAAGCAGTGCTTTGTTGTTCCAGACAACGCAGCAACACGAAGTCCACCAGGACCTCCTCACTGATGCTTTTCTCCCAAAACATGGGTGTAATGATCCATTACATGTCAGTGGAGGAGGTCCTGAGGGGTTCCGTGTTTCTCATCCAGAACCATAAAGCTTCAATATTTGCCATATGCTGTTGGCTTCTTTTTTTTGGATCTACAGACATCTTGTTATTGGGAACAATGGCTGTGTTCAGCCAAGTCAAGATGTTATTTGACCAAATGCACATTAGCTCTAACCAAGCTCCCTACTAATATATTCAGTCAGATTTTATAAGCATGTTTACATTCATGTATTCGCTTCACATAACAGGGAGTCACGCGATATCATCATCTTCTTTTGTAACTCGAATTTCTGGTCTGAGCTTGTCTAGTCTGCGGTGAACATATTTCTTCATCAATGGGGCGACGGGTTTACTGATCATATCTGCATGGCTAGAGCCAAACTGAGCTTTATAGGTTAACAATTGCAGGTCCATGGAATTTAGAACACAACGTGTTTGTATGTTAAGTCAGTTCCCAAAATCTAAGGCTGGGTGTAGAAGATAAATTTGTTGTCAGACATTAGGAAACCATCCTCATGCCGAAACTTGCTCTGCAAACCGGCACACTGACAAAATGTTTCTGGAAGTCAAAAACGCTACCCTAAAGTCCAACACGGACTCTTTTTGTTTTAGAATGTGAAAGGGTTAGAGTCTCTGTTGGGTTTTCCTATTTAGGAGATTTGAGGACAGAATACGTTTGGGCCGAGGAGGATTTTGGCACTAGCGCTGTTCTTGGGTGGGGAATATTTTCCGAAGTGTACACTGACCCTAAGAATTTACTGGGCGTGCACTCCCGCTTGCTTTTTTGTGCTTCTCCGCACGGCCATGATGCCCAAATGCTCCTTATGGTGCTGGAGTAGAGTCAGACTTCAAACCTCGAGCAGGGCACCTAACATCTGGATGCCCTAATGTGATTGGAAGCTGGATTAGTACGGAATGAGAGGAGTCATTTCTCATCTATGCTATTGGACATTTAAAGTCTGGTAAGGTGCATGGTTTGGAAGGTGGCAGCGAGTGGATTTTGTTGCACTATTACCGTATTTTTTTCGCTCTATAAGACGCACTTTTTCCCCCCTTTGTCGGTGCGTCTTATGGAGTGGCCGGTTCCGGTATTCCTACCGCCGTGTCAGAATACCGGGACGGCCGCTCAGCTCTTCTCTGCAGGAGAACCTTAACTGTTCCTTGGACCAGCGCTGTACAGTCTTCTAGCTTTAGTGTGGGCACCCGGCTGTGACAGCCAGATGCCCACTGCGCATGTGCAAGAATGGTCCGGTGTCTTCTGGGACACGTGACAGGTCCCAGAAGACGCCAGACCATTCACAAACCGCAGCGCTTCTCGTGCATGCGCAGTACTGTGTCCGCAGTCTCTGGTCATCTCCTGTACTATGTTCCTGGTCATCTCCTGTACTGTCTACAGTCTCTGGTCATCTCCTGTACTGTGTCTGCAGTCTCTGGTCATCTCCTGTACTGTGTCCGCAGTCTCTGGTCATCTCCTGTACTGTGTCCGCAGTCTCTGGTCATCTCCTGTACTATGTCTGCAGTCTCTGGTCATCTCCTGTACTATGTCCGCAGTCTCTGGTCATCTCCTGTACTGTGTCCGCAGTCTCTGGTCATCTCCTGTACTGTGTCCGCAGTCTCTGGTCATCTCCTGTACTGTGTCCACAGTCTCTGGTCATCTCCTGTACTGTGTCCGCAGTCTCTGGTCATCTCCTGTACTGTGTCCGCAGTCTCTGGTCATCTCCTGTACTGTGTCCGCAGTCTCTGGTCATCTCCTGTACTATGTCCGCAGTCTCTGGTCATCTCCTGTACTATGTCCGCAGTCTCTGGTCATCTCTGGTCCGCAGTCTCTGGTCATCTCCTGTACTATGTCCGCAGTCTCTGGTCATCTCCTGTACTGTGTCCACAGTCTCTGGTCATCTCCTGTACTGTGTCCGCAGTCTCTGGTCATCTCTTGTACTGTGTCCGCAGTCTCTGGTCATCCCCTGTACTGGGTCCGCAGTCTCTGGTCATCTCCTGTACTGTGTCCGCAGTCTCTGGTCCTCTCCTGTACTGTGTCCGCAGTCTCTGGTCCTCTCCTGTACTATGTCCGCAGTCTCTGGTCATCTCCTGTACTGTGTCCGCAGTCATTGGTCATCTCCTGTACTATGTCCGCAGTCTCTGGTCATCTCCTGTACTGTGTCCGCAGTCTCTGGTCATCTCCTGTACTGTGTCCGCAGTCTCTGGTCATCTCCTGTACTGTCTGCAGTCTCTGGTCATCTCCTGTACTGTGTCTGCAGTCTCTGGTCATCTCCTGTACTGTCCGCAGTCTCTGGTCATCTCCTGTACTATGTCCGCAGTCTCTGGTCATCTGTACTATGTCCGCAGTCTCTGGTCATCTCCTCTACTATGTCCGCAGTCCATTGGTTCAGATAATTTTTTTTCTTGTTTTCCTCCTCTAAAACCTATGTGCGTCTTATGGAGCAAAAAATACGGTACATGTCTAAAGGATACTACACTATCATATGTTTTCTCCGGAGGTATTCTTTATGAGGATGAGGATGCATTGGAAGGATCAGTTTTTGAGCGGATTCTAATATGGAATGAGATTTGAAGCTATGTACGAGTATTTTTAGGGAAAGAGTATTTAATTCAGCCACATAGAAGTGGACACTGGGGGATTTATGCAAATCCTGAACACAATATACACTGAGATTTTGTTTTTGAGTTTTATTTTGACGTTTATGCAATAAGGATAATGCAATATATGTAGTTTTTTTTTTTTTTTGAGGCACACGTGGATATTTAAGAGTGATATTTTTGGAGATGGATCAAGTGGAATTATGAATTTGGAATAATATTTGAAGATTCACAGAAGCTGAGAGGGTTTATTTGACTTTGGACTTTCGGGGGATAAAATGTGACTTTTTTGTGCGTCTAGGGTGTTTTCTTATATAATTTTGTGGGTACACCGATTTTTGCTATTCATTTATTTAGGAGATTTATCTTCACATCCTGTCAGTTCAGAAAAAGATCTTATTTTAGGACTTTTTGTGGAATCTTGAACTTCAAGATGCTTGGGTTCATATCTAGAGGACTGGAGAAAAATCCTTTTTTACTTTCCTACTTTTTAGTCCTATCAAAGGAGAAAAGTTAACGATTAACAGAGGTCATATGTCCCCTGACACAGAGGGTGCATTCAGCTAAAAATATTGTAATTCAGAATTCAGCTGAACCTTGACACAGGTGAATGTACTGTATACGACATTTTCACATGATTGTGGCCAATATAAACATTTGTAATGGCTACAATACAATGGATGCATTGTGATGTATATGTATTTTAATGTGTTGTAATCCTGCTGAAAGGATAGGTTCCATTAAAGCGCTGAACAATCTTTTGGCACTATATAAATCCTGTATAATAATATTAATTAAAAAAAAAATCTTTAGCCCCCTAACCCAGAGGCGTCCCTAGGGTTGGTGTCACCCGGTGCGGTAACACTTTGTGACATCCCCTCCGACGATCCCCGCAGAATGGATCGGATCTGCGGATTGAGCATAATGGATTGGACTCTGATCCATTATGCTCAATCCGCAGATCCGATCCAACCTGCGGGGATCGTCGGCTTTCTTTACAACTTACCTTTTCGTGGAGCGGGTCCGGTGTCACCCCGCATAGGTTGCATGCCGACGATCCCCGCAGGATGGTTCGGATCTGTGGATTGAGCATAATGGATCGGAGTCCGATCCATTATCCTCCCCAATTCGCAGATCCCATCCATTATGCTCAATCCGCAGATCCGATCCATTCTGCGGGGATCGTCGGAGGGAGTGTCACTTGATTGTTGGCTTGCTTTACAACTTACCTTTTTGTGGAGGGGGTCCATTGTCACCCGTGCGGTCGGTGTCACCCGGTGCGGGCCGTACCCCCCGCACCTGCCTCGGGACGTCGCTGCCCTAACCTACTCTAAGCTAATCCCAACTCCACTTACCTCTTTAAAATGCCCTATCTGTGTCGTGTTTTCAGCCTGTAGACTTGAAAAGGCCATACTTGTACCATTGAGCTAATGGTCCCTAAACCAGAGCAGGCCATATCATGTACATGTACGTGATCCGGCCTGCCTGTGCCACCTGTCCGCAGTAAGTACTGTGGGCGGTCAGCACAATATTAAAGTGTAATTGTACCCTTGTGGGCAGGGGAGGGGGGATGGTAAAAACAGGCAGTTGAGCTGTTTTACCACCTATTTATTTCAGGTACTTATATAGCGCCGGCAATTTACGCAGCGCTTTACATATATATTGTACATTCACATCAGTCCCTAACCCTCAAGGGGTGTACAGTCTAAGGTTCCTAACTCACATTCATACATACACATACTAGGGCCAATTTAGACAGGAGCCAATTAACCTACCAGCATGTCTTTGCTGTGTGGGAGGAAACCGGAGTACCCGGAGGAAACCAACGCAGGCACAGGGAGAACATGCAAACTCCACGCAGATGGTGCCGTGGTTGGGATTCGGACCAACAACCCGAGTACTGCCAGGCGGAAGTGCTAACCATTTAGCCACTGTGCTGCCCAACCTCTTCTTAACCTAACACAGCAGCCAGAGGGGTATGGTATGCCCGCTGCAAACATTGTAACCCCCTGTTGTGTTCAGGGGGCTGTATCAGCTGGGCCAGGACCAGGGGCGACTGACAACTCATGGGGCCCCCAGGCAATAGGGGATCATGGGGCCCCTGTGTCCTTGCCCACACTCAAACCATACCCCAAAAAACCTATAAAAGGTACCAGGGGCATATCATGGGGCCCCTTACTGTCCCCAGGCCCTCGGGCAGTGCCCGAGTTTCTGAATGGTCAGTCAGCCCCTGGCAAGGACAAATGTGGGCAGGAGGGGTGGCTGCCCTGGGCACTGTGGTATCATGCGATGTGGGGGGAGGGGCACTACAAAAAAGATAGGGGGATTTGTGTTGGGGGGGAATTTGGGGGGAAGCAGGGGAATTATTCTAGGAGGGTAAGTGTGCTAGGAGTGGTGATTTGGGGGGATTTGAGTTGGGAGGGGGAAAGATGATTAGTGGCAGGAGGGGGGATTTGTGTTAGGAGGGGGAAAAGTGATTAGTGCTTAGGAAAGGGGATTTGGGGGGGTTGTGCTAGAAAAGGTGATATGGTAGAGGAGGATGAGGGATTTGTGCTAGGAGGGGAATTTTGGAGGTGGGGGATTCGTGCCAGGAGGGGGGAATTTGGATTGGGGGTGATTTGTGCTCATTGGGGAAATTTGGAAGGATATAGGATTTGTGCAAGGAGGGTGACATTCAGCCCCAGTGGAATAGATAGAGAGGAGTGGATAACCAACACAAAGTTTAGAAAAAAAAAAGGAAGGACAAAAAAATAAGATGGGGGCGAGACCCCCACCTATCCTTCTGGCTTCCCATTCTGGTGATCCCATTAGTCTACCAGCCAATGTGATGAGTTACGCATCTGCCCCAATTAATTGATGTTTGGGAGGCCAACGGAGAGAAGATTTCAGCTGGTGGGACGGGAGGGGCAAAGATTTATGCTGAGATGAGGGATTTCAGTGGGGTCAGATTTGTACTGGGGAGGGGGGACCCCCATCTACCCTTCTGGCTTCCCACTCTGGTGATCCCATTAGTCTACCGGCCAATGTGATGAGTTACGCATCTGCCCCATTCAACTCATGTTTGGGAGGCCAATGGGGAGAGAGGATTTGAGCTGGAGGGATGGGAGGGGCAAAGATTTGTGCTGAGACGAGGGATTTCAGTGGGGGATGATTTGTCCTGGGGGGGGGATTTTATGTTTAAGCATGTAGATCAGTGCTTGATTTTTTATATGGGGGGGGGGGGGAATTTTTGCTGACACATACTGCTCATACATCTTGGGGGAAGCGCAATTTGGCATGCTGTCCCTGGGCTCCAGATGACCTTGTACCAGCACAAAGTACTGCCACCGAACATGACCCATTAAAAGAATGGGGCCACACTGCAACCTCCTTGCAACCATCTGCAATGCATGTAGATGTGCAGGTTTTTCAGTTTTGCCTCTCAGCCATCTATGAACCTCCACCACGGATCGCTTTCTGAAGGGTTGACAAGGGCTGCTCCCAGTACAAATGAGTGCAGTTCCACTTACAGTATATTGTAGTCTGTAGTACTACTCACCGATCTGCTGGAGCATGGAGTACAAACTCTCCATAGGACTTAATAGAGAGTTACTACGCGTGCCTGGACCCAACTGGAAAGATTTTGTTGGCTATTGGCACTGGATTGGGGAACGGTGAGTATACAGGAGAGGTTGTACAAAAGGTATAATAAAAGGTGCAGTGACACAGGCCTCATACACATTGGAGCATGCAATAATCATCAATACAGTGAACAAAAATGTAGCGCTCACACAATATAGAATAGGATGGTGACAGTAGGCAAAAAATAAAGGAAAAGTTTAGGACTGACTGTACAAAGGATGTGGTGACGATGGGTGGGATGAATCTCACTCTCTGGATGGACACAGGATCAACATCCACATAGCCCACAGGTGCAGTGGCATATGCCTAATACACATTGGAACATGCAATAATCATCAGTACAATGAACAAAAATTCAGCGCTCACACAATATAGAATAGGATGGTGACAGCAGGCAAAAAATAAAGGAAAAGGCTAGGACTGACTGTACAAAGGATGTGGTGACGATGGGTGGGATGAATCTCAATCTCTGGATGGACACAGGATCAGCTTCCACACAGCCCACAGGTGCAGTGACATATGCCTAATACACATTGGAACATGCAATAATCATC